CCGCGTCCAGCTCTGTGTGCACGATTGTTACACCCCCATCAACAGAGACAGAGTTGACAGGGGAATTCCTCCTGCCAAGCTACTGTGTTCTCCCGGCAGGTAAATCCATCCCTGCTGGGAGAAGACAGTGATTATTGCTATCGGCTATACCAGCCTAAAATCCTGCACTATCGGAGCCAAATTTAAGGAAAGAAAATACGAGGCCCAATGAGAGATCACGACCCCCAGAAACCTGAAACTCTTCACTGCAATTGGGTAGAGGGAAGAGAAGGGCCTCACCAGGAGTCCGAGGGTCAATGGAAAACAACAAGGATTTCATCCAGTTTACCCTGAGACCCATGACAGGAGCAAATAAGTTCAGGACGAGGGGAGCCCCAGCAAGCGATGGCCCAGCATCGTTCAGGAACAATAGAAGGTCATCGGCATATAAGGCCATCCTCTCCTCCAGCCCTCCAACGCAGAGGCTTCTAATGTCGGGGGGGGGAAATACAAAGAGCCTCAGCAATTGGTTCCACAGCTATGGCAAAAAGAATGAGAGAGAGAGGGCATCCCTGCCGGGTGCCTCTAGATCAGTGGTTCTTAACCTGGGTTCGATCGAACCTCAGGGGTTCGGTGAGTCAGTCTCGCGGGTTCGGCGGAGGTGAAGACCCACACCCGACTCATATGATTCGTGCAGTAAATATTCATTATTATGTTTTTGTTTTTGTGTGAAAATCATGTTTTTAATGGTTTTGTTCTTAACGGTTTTGTTCATTTTGTGCACCTATGTATAAATATATACCTAAATATATACCTATGTTTTGAATTTTAAAAAATCATATATTTTATTTTTTCCAATTAAGAAGGGTTCGGTGAATGCGCATATGAAACTGGTGGGGTTCAGTACCTCCAACAAGGTTAAGAACCACTGCTCTAGATAAAGAGAACAGAGCCGACAGGCCACCATTCAATTGGTTCGCCACAGTAGGGTTGGCATAAAAAAGTCTGAAGCCATGCAATGAAAACTAGATGGAAACCCATTCTGCAGAGTACTTCCCATGGGAATGGCCATTCTATAGTATCAAAGACCTTCTCAAGATCTAAGGAGGCCACAACTCTAGAACACACATTGTCATGCACAGCGTGAATGTTCGTAAACAATTGCAAAATTACAAGAAACAGGTTCTGAACACAATAAAGTTGTTTGTGCAATAAAGACTTAAACTACGTCCATTACACAGAACAATTCAGTTGACATACCAAAGTGGTAAGGAGATGCAGTAAACACCAAAAAGAGCAAAGAGTACCTTGAGTGACTAAGGCACTCAGGCATACTTGGCATACACCCATGCATGTTTGCCTACAGAGAATGCACAGGTGTTCTGTTCATCCATGTGCAGGTAGTCCCATTCATGTCTATTGGCAGGCAGTGACCACACAGACAGTCATTGCTCCCAGTTTGATGACCATGTAGGTGCGGTAACCTGTGCATGAACTCACAATGTCTGCATTTGGGAACACGCACCTACACCCGCACCCAATCGTATGTCAGATTGGGAGCAACCACTGTGTTCCAACTTACATGAATGACACTGCCTGCACGCAGATGCATGGAACAACTGTGCATCCTGTTTGGACAAACATGTTAGCAAAGTGTTAGCAAGGGAGAATACTGGGAATAGATCATTTACAGATCTTATTATATCCAGTGTTGTGAAGTGAGTTGATTGAGTTATTTGAACATCCTTACATACATATTTGTTTACTGGAAACTTTTAGAGGGCATGTGAAATATTAAATCTCCATTGCATAAAATCTCAGAAGGTGAGGCACTTGAGATACACAGAATGAATGATAAATTCTTCAGCAGTAATAACTGGAAGGTCTTGACACAGTGATAACACAGCCTTAGAGGATATAGCTGCTTTCAGATGGTTCAGTGACTCCACAGTCTCATACTCAGTGTACAATGTCTGTGCCAATGCTGCAAACACAGACCATACATTCAGTGCAGTGAAAGCCTGCCCAGGAGGAGGGGAGCACACACAGATGAAGCATTAAGACTGTATAAATATGCTCATTTAGATTCCATTACTTCAACTTCTCAAACAGAGTACAACATGGTAACTGTATTTAGAGCTATTAAAAAGTTTTACTTTATATAACTGATTTGGCAGCATTCACAACTATGTATTTTTTCTTTGATTAATCAATCAATCAGAACAGATAAAATACATGCCAATGTTACGACATATGTTAACACACATCCTGATATGCTTTGGCAGATCATGATGCTTTATGATGCACTTTAACAAGCAATAAAAATACTGTACATTGCAAAATGTATTAAAAAGTGTGACAATGCCCGCAAACACGAGTTGACATGTATTTTTATGCCTTTCTATTGATTTTAATGGAAAACACACCAGGTAGAAAAATGCTTAGATCTGAATAAGTCCCCAGCAAGGCTATAGTATACTAAGAGTATCTTTAAAGTGTCTTCAGAAGTTTTCCAGACCAATATTCATGATAAGATTTCATATCTTCAGGTATCAATTTATGTGAAAATTGAAGACTGAATTTGTATGAAAATTTTTTTAAAGCACCTTGGCCAGACTGTTGATTGTTATTTTGCTGCATAATATTTTTTTTAGAATTTCACAGGTCTGATTAGTAGGGTTTTACTGTATCTAATGATGATTATGAATATAAATATACCTCTGCTCTTATCAATAACTATTACGTTTTGCCAAGCAGTGCAATTCACACCTGTGCACTATACATTTATATATCATAAAAAGTGCAGCTGAATTGCTTTTCGTTGCCTTGAGTTACATGTGTGCCTGTCTTGGCCCAAGCACTTTTTTTCAGTGAAATCTGATTTCTGTAGTGCAGTACCCTGGAACACAATCTAGATCCAGAGGAAAACAGAACACTTGGAAGGATGGCCATACAAACATGGGAATAATGTTTACTAAAACTGGAGAAAATCTGGTGCATCTCTACATTGAAACCAATCAGCTTCCAGGTTTAATTGTCAAAGCTTAATTGAACAAGCTGAAGTGAGAAGCTGATTGGCTACCAAGCACATCTGCACCAGATTCTGAGTGCACCAGTTTTAGTAAATCTCCCCCAGTATGTCCACTAAGGCTAGGTTCATAAATGTGCGGGTGGTGCTGCTGTGGATCCGCACAAAAATCCATGCAGCCACACCACCCGCACAGAAGAATGTGGACCATTAATTCTAATAGCACACTTCCCGCACTGGAAATCGCAACTGTACTGGGAACCGAGGCTCCCGTGCGGGCTGTGTTTTCAGAAGAAGTGCAGGGACTTCTTCCCTGCATGTCCTTGGGCACAGAAGTCCATTCAAATGAATGGGCTCTCATGCCCATGGAAAATGTGGCCCGCAGGAACGCGGATATGTGAACCAGGGGTTAGAAGAAGTGCCAGTGACATACCTTGTGGATTGTGGGGAATGTAACGGAAAGTCAGCCGTTATTTGTCACTGAAGCACCAGATTTACCAAGATCTATGCTCTGGGTGGAGTGCAACAAACCCCTTCTGCAAAATCTTGGTAGAATTCAAACCCAGAGCTTCAAGGCAAGAGTATATATGTGATGCCAGTGCAAATGTAAGGAAATATGTTAATTTACAAAAGCTGAACATATACAGGACCCTTACTACTCCTGACATCTTACACTTTAATACCAGTTCCAAAATCAAATGAGTGTATAGTATATGAAATTCTGTTTGAAAAGACATGAGGGGCAGGGTACATTGTTTATGTTTTCGGCTACAAGCCTAATGATCATTTCCTCATGTCCCCTTCTCTTATGATGTTTAGGGCACAATATATGCAGAATATTTGGCTGGTCATGCCCCTCCTCCCCTACATCCCAGCTGCCTGCCTCACCTTCCTATCTGACACATGAGGAATTTGCTACTTTTTCTCAGTGTTCTGCTGTGTATTGACAAGACAAGAAATCTCAGCCAAGATGAACTGGAAACAAATCCTGTTTCTGTCTTTTACTGCAGCAGTTGTGCTTCTAGCAGGTAAGAACAGTTTACCTTTATTTTAGGATAAACATGCAACTTGTTTCTTCTGATGCTGAATTTAAAGTGATCCATGTGTGCTTTTAAAGGGATGCTTCTTTATTGTAACTCATTATCACATATAGTAAAATGTTCCACTAACTATATAAACGTATGCTATGGCATGATGTTTGAGTTTTAAAACACGATTCCTCTGGCCAAGCAATGATTCTGCACTTGAGTTCTCCATAGATGCCCAATCCAACAATTCTGGTAGGGCTCGGAGATAATCGCATACAATATGTTTTGATACCACCCAATTTGTCTATATAAATTCTTGCCAGAAGATTTCTAGGAAAGAACTGATTTGCATGTTTTAGAATTTTATGGCTGATTTTTTTTTTTCTGTAATTACGCTGATCTGGGAGAGGCTGCATAATGCATGAAGACGAATGCTTGGTTGAAACAAATCTGCATGTTTATAAACTGATGTTTCGTGAAAAATAATGTCTTGCATGATGCTCTTTTTTCATGCAATATATACCAAATCTCTAATAAATATCAATGCAAAAATAAGTTTTTATTATTACCAAATATACTGCTCATACTGCAATTATTTTTAACAGCGTGTACAGTAATATTCTAGTTATGTCCTTTGGAAGGATTATTATTATTATTACTATAATTTCATTTTCTATATGGAGGAAAAAAAGCTACAATCCTTGATCCATGTTAGAAATATTGAAGGAGCCAACATGAACTGCAGACTTTTACTGCATTCAACTTTTTTATTTCTTGTTTCTGAGCCCCTGAATTGCTGAGTAGTAGAGCTTCGATTATTTAAAGCTGGTAAAATTCTGGATGTGATTGGAATGCTTGCAGTTCAGACTTACTGAAATAATTGTACACTCAAAAGCTTTTAAATATTATCCTCAGGAGTGGTGTCATTAAGAATATATTCTATAATAGAACTATATTCAGTAACTGCGCCTTTCTCTTTAGTTTCTCAGGTGGCTGAAAGTGCTGCAGTGAGAAGCAGTGACGATGGGGCGGCTGACAAAAAACAAAGTAAGTACATGAATGAAATACACATAGACCATGTTAATACTTTAGAATAGTTCTTTACAAAGGACAAGGAATCATTTGCGTGACATTGTTACAGTGGCAGAAAACGTTGGTAAAATCCAGCATTCTACAAAGTGAACCTAATAAGATATATTTCACTCCAGGCTTGAAGAAGATCTTCATGCAGGAATCTGACGCCTCAAACTTCTTCAAGAAACGTGGCAAGAGATCAACAAAATCCCAGGATGAAATCAATGGTGAGGGTGTTAGCTTTGTGGAAATGTGTTTGTTTTTCTGTCCCACAGTTTCCTTGAAATTGTCCAGGATTCCTGCTGTCACTGTAAGGATATATTACTAGACTGCATTCCTGCCTTGCCTCTGGTTACAAAGATGTTTCTAAATGAACCTAATGCCCTTGAAGGGTGCCAAAACATTTCATTTTAGTATAAGAATTACATTTATTGATCTTCTCTAAGTATACCATACGACAGATCCCCATTCCAAGTTATTTGTACCAGGGATTTACAGATTTTATATTGACCATTACAGGATTCAGAGAGTCACTGCTCAATGCAAACTATTCACAGGTAGATACATGAGCTACAGTAGCATATATGTTCTCCATATACCCCGTTACATCTCTTTGTAAGATAACCCCCCATTCCAGGTAATACACACCTTTGCTGCAATCCCTGCTTCTCCAATTACTTGCCAATGTCCTCGGAGATTCTCTAGGTACTTCCAGGTATGGTAGAAAATGTCACCTTCACCCCTTTTTCCCATAGTGCAGTGCTTGAGTAACCAATTGACAGACCTGAGTACTGTTGTTAGTCATGTTGGAGTGGGGGGCAAGGAGTTGGGAGGAAGATATAAGCCCTGGGTAAGCCTTATCTAGAACCAACTTTGAGCTTATCCAGGCCTTTTGACTCAGTCCTCTGGTGGGTGAACAGGGCAGTGGGGGGAGCATGGAGAAGGAAAGAATCAGTGGGAGAATGGTGGACTCTAAAGGGAATTCCTGAATAGGCAAAGTGAAAGATTCACTTTAGGGTAACTCTGAAGAATAATAAAAGGAGCTACAGTCTCCAAACCCAAATTTTAATAAAACAATCCTTGTGATTCTCATAATTACCCATGTCATATTTACATGCCAGATCTGTAGTTTATTCTCTTCTGTGGAAGTTCTGGCCGTGGCCATCGCATGTGTGGGCATCCGATGCCACTTCCCCTTCACTTCCGGGATTTTGTGCAGCCATCTACCCAGCATGCACCTCCTGGTCTTGCACCTGCGCAGTAATACCGCGATGACAGAAAGTTAGCATGCCCAAAGACTCCTGGGATCGATGATGCCTGTATCCCAGGAGTCTTCGGGATCTCATGAATACGTCATCCGCCTAGGTGGCCACAAATGGAAGTGGCATGTAGATTAAACTAAAAAAGGCATTTTTACAGGAAAAAAAATTAAATATCCTAATCTTACATATGTATGGGTGGCCACTAGGATAAGCCTGACTTATAATTAGCACTTCTGCCTGGCAGTACTAGGATCGTTGGTTCAAATCCCGACCACGGCACCACCAGTCTGGAGTTTGCATGTTCTCCCTGTGCCTGCATGGGTTTCCTCCAGGTACTCCGGGTTCCTCCCACACTTCAAAGACATGCTGGTAGGTGAATGTGAGTTAGGGACCTTAGATTGTACGCCCCTTGAGGGTTAGGGACTGATGTGAATATACAATATATATGTAAAAGCGCTGCATAAATTGACGGCGCTATATAAGTACCTATAATAAATAAAATAAATAAAAAAGGGTGAAGCTGCGCTTTAAGGGAACTAAAATCCCCCATGTTCCAGTGTTAGTGAATCATTTCATCATATTTTCTGACACCAGCAATAGCGTTGTAGGCAATTTCAATGAGTTTTAAGTATATAAAAACTGGAAGAAAGCGAAGCTGTCGCTGTTAGCAACCACATTCCCACTGTTCTTCCTCTAGTGCACAAAATTAAAGCTACTATTTTGTACAACTATACGTTTATCTATATCATTGCTACCATCCCTCTTCATTTAACACCATTTCAGAGGAGGATCCAAGGATTCCACTGTCCTACATACTTATAAATACATCAGAAATAAAAATTAATTGTGTTCATTAAATTTGATTAATTTTGTTTCTTTGCAACTACCCTGTTAAAATGAGGATGAGGGAAAATAAATGAAATCTGTAGTATAGACAGTTTATATAGACATGTTGTGCACGGTCTGGTAGCTATGGAAGTATTTCCCCTACCTCCAGGGCTGCCTGCATTACACTGTACAATGAAGGGCTCTTTCTACTGCTAGAGCGTCTACTGGACTCAGCAGCAGAATATGTGTGCTGTGTGTTGGGCAGCTGCAGGAGGTGCAGGGCAGCATGGAGAAAAGAGGTTTAGTGCTCGCACCTTCAGCTCATGTTACAAAGCTCATAGGATCTGGGCTAGAACAGCACAGCTATGTGCAAAAAACCCTCTTTCAGCTATAGCTGTCAGCAAAAGCAGAGCATCACTGCTAAACGCAAGGCTTTGATTTTCTCTTGTCACATCTTAATGGAACTTGTGTTTATAAAATTGGTATTGTTGAAGTTATACAAACTATCAATTTTTAAACGTGTGAGTCCAATAAAACTTTGCGTCTAGGCCTTTCTTAATAAGGAAATGTCTTGAAAGGGTCAGCTGACTTCAACTAATAGTTCAGTTGTGGGTGGACTATGCTGGATTGTGCACTTGCCTTTTTTAACTGTATTTACAGAATTTAGAGATCTCCTTGGTGGATTTCCCAACTCTGCCTCCAGTTTTTTGTTCTCCCTACTGTTGCCAGTAGTCTCTCTTTTCTAGATGCAATATGCCTAATATTAAAAAAAAACACAATCAAATAGCAAGACTCTGGCACCATTTGTTATCTGATGTGGAATAAAAAGATGAGTGTCAAGTCATAGAAACTGGCCCAGATATAGTTTTTATTTGCCCCAATTAAAAGAATCCAAGAATAGTTGGCAACTAAAACTTTGGGGGTGTAATACTCAGAATACTAAAATACAACAAATAACAAGTGTTGCTGAAATGTGTTGACCTATTTTATTGTAACAAATGTATCTGGACCAATTTGTACAGCTTGTAGCTCATATTTTCATCCTACATAAACTGATTTTTCCCAAGGCCCCATCAATGCTCCATTGGGCATTACAGAGCTAGTACCCTATAGCAACTACTAGGTCCAAACAAAATGTCCATTAAAACTGAAGTATGGCACTCTACCACTCAAATTCAAAAGTGTTTCTTGTTATGGCCTTGTTGTATGAGCTGACCTGGGATTCAAGTAAGGAGATCTTGCTGCTGAGTAAATAATGGCCCCTTCTACTTACCTAAAATTAAATATCAGTTTTGGCTGGACTCTGGAGTAGTATTTGACATCAGTGTTCCATTATTATCAGTTGAGTCTTGTTTTTTTTAGCATCACACAAGTGCTTTCTCGCGTGTATGAACAATTTTTTGAAAAATCAAGCAACCTGAGTCTGATCAGGACTTGGATGGCCAAATCGCCTTATCTATATCTATGATGTTGTACTCTTGCCTTGAAGCTCTGGGTTTGAATTCTACCAAGATTTTGCAGAAGGGGGTTGGTGCACTCCATCCAGAGCATAGATCTTGGTAAATCTGGTGCTTCAGCGACAAATGACGGCTGGCTTTCCGTCACATTTACCACAATTCACAAGGTATGTCACTGGCACTTCTTCTAAGTGGACATACTGGGGCAGATTTACTAAACCTGGTGCACTCTGAATCTGGTGCAGCTGTGCATGGTAGCCAATCAGCTTCTAACTTCGGCTTGTTCAATTAAGCTTTGACTATTAAACCTGGAAGTTGATTGGTTTCTATGCACAGCTGCCCCAGATTTAGTAAACCTTCCCATTTGTTAGCAATTGTTGTGGAATAGATGGCTTTTTCTTACTAAATGAATCATTTAGAACACTGTTTATGTTCATGTGTCTCTTTGCTGAGCTTTACAATTAAATCCAAAACAAATGTGTAATTTTTATACTGTAATACAAAAATTAATTTTCTTTCAGCTGAGAACAGGCAGAGATTATCCGCAGATGAGCGCAGGAGGGAGTACTACGAGGAGCAGAGGAATGAGTTTGAGAACTATGTGGAGGAAGAACAGGATGGTAAGGATTTGTTGATCACTGTGAACCTGTGCCTGTTACCATTCCCATGCCCCTAAAGTATTTTCTCATGCTTCATTTCTCAAGGAAAAAGGATAGGCAAGAGGGAGACATGCACACATGTATTCAGCCCCTTATTTACACTAGTTTTCTGTAAGCAGACAGCAATGTGGTACAGGAAGAATCTGTGTCTGGCACTTTAAGTATTGCCTCCTTAGTATTCTTGCCAAGTCAGTGATAAGAGATATAACTGTATTGAGGTTATCTGTCTGCCATATTGTTGGTGGAAAAGTGCCAATCATTCTACTGTATACTGAAGGTGCAGCTGACATATCAGTTGCATCGTGCATAGATTTGATCACAATAACCTTTCATTACAATAATGTTTTATGAATGATAATATATTAAGAGTAATGGACTAATGGCTGACTTTCCGATCTGAATTGGTTTAGGGGCTTGGTTGATGACAATGGTTAGGTTTATAAATTTGGCGGAGATTAAGGACCCATTCAAACCGATGCACTGTAGATAAGTGTGGAAATTCACGCTATGTGCATTGTAGTGCTATTCATTGTAAATACTGTAGCACTCCAATTCACCTATGTTTCAGCATACTACAACAGGTAGTAACACAGTACCATACAGTTTGGTACCCAAGTGAATACGCTGCAAGGGCAATTTTTTGGTCCTGGTTGGTGCATTTGGCAGCCCATTTAAGTGAATGGGCTACCTAATGTCTAGGAGTCAGGGCAGCTGCACTGTTTTGCTGTGAAAGAAATCAATGTATGAATGCATACACTGTGACAATACCAGACACTTCTAGTGGCTGAATGACTTCAGTAGAAACAGAATGCAGAATGCGTGTGAGGAGCAGAGGTGTTCTGAATTCCAGCCGAGGAGAACTCTGCTTAGGATTTTAGTGCAGCAGTGGCTGTGTTGTCAGCCCACAGGTATTTTCCTGTACTTTCACCAATTTTAACCTCTCTCAGTCTCTGCTACATACATCCCATAAAAATGTCACAGGGTGTAGGTAGAATGCTCCGTCCCTCTCCTGTTTCTAGTAGTTCACAGCTGTCAAAAATTACAGCAGGGACTTGCTTTGTATTACAGCAAAGGCAACCACTGCTGTACAAATCTGAGTTTCTGTAAGCTGTTCATAAATACTGTTCAGAAGCATTATTCAGAAATACAATGTAACACAACTGTTACATTGTATTTACTCTGTTCCATTCATCTGCAGGAGCACATGCCATTATGTGCAAGGATTAGTGTGCCCTCTTTGTGTAGAAATTATTTTGTTCCATCACCCAGCTCTATTCTTGGCATCTTACAGATGCTGAGAGTGGACCCAGAGTGCACCACAGCCAGTGTACACACACACACACCTAGAAAATAAGTTTGTTTTTTTCTTTGCTAAAGTAGATATACAAAGTCATGGGTAAGGTTTTGCAGTTAAAGTAAGGATAAGGGTTACCTTTTAGAAGTTAGATTGAAGGTAAAAGAGAAGTACGGGAATTCATTTTTTTCCTAAGTCATACTTACCTAGGTGGATGCAGCATCAGTCCGATGCTACATCTGTGCCCCACGGGCTCCAAGGGTGAGAACTCAGTGATCATATGACTGCTGATCGCTGAGTTCTCACAGCCACTCTGAGCAGAGAGTGGTGACTGCCAATCACTGCTGTCTGCTCTTCCAACCCCCTAGCACTCACTGGAGCACTGGGCTATGGAGGGGAAAGGAGGGCTGGCTCAGGCTCTCAGCAGATCGCTGAGAGGCGGAGCAAGGTGCCGCTCCAGACTCTAGACTAAAGTCGGGATCTTTCCCTAGTTTGGACCAGCTGAGTGGCATCAGCCAACAGCAGGTATCAGCCCACTGTCAGCTGAAAACACGTCACAGGAGTGCAGAACGAACTGCACTCCTGTGATCCACAGGAGAAGTACAGCCATAAGAGCTTTGATTGTACTTCTCCTTTTAGTTAAAGATTGCCTTTATATATAATGCAATTTTGTACATCACTACTTAAATGATGAGTGAAGTAAATGTGATCTCTGCCCTCTAAGGCTGCACTTGTGATCTTGTGTAAACCCCAGTGCTTGCAATTGCATGCACCTTTCTCTAATGCAGTACTTGCACATTTTTCAAAATACAAATTAGACACATGATGGGTCCTTTCTGTGGCCTGGGTACATTATCCAGGACCATGAACTGGAGCTCTGAATCTGCATGTCCTATCTCCACATAGAAATGGATAGGCATTCAATCCATTTCCCAGTGTCATAACATATATTCAAATCCACTTTGGTATCAGAATAATTAAGGGAAAGTAACAAACAGATGCCATAAAAGGCAGGAACTTATTAAATCAGAGGCTGCTAGGAAGTGTAGAGTTTATGTAGTATCCCATATCAATCCATGTACAGTGGATATAAAAAGTCTACACACCCCTGTTAAAATGTCAGGTTTCTGTGATGTAAAAAAATGAGACAAAGATAAATAATTTCAGAACTTTTTTTCCACCTTTAATGTAACCTATAAACTGTACAACTCAATTGAACAACAAACTGAAATATTTTAGGTGGAGGGAAGTAAAAACTAAAATTATATAGTTGTGTAGAATACCGTTGCATAAGTGTGCACACCCTTAAACTAATACTTTGTTGAAGCACCTTTTGATTTTATTCCAGCACTCAGTCTTTTTGGGTATGAGTCTATCAGCATGGCACATCTTGACTTGGCAATATCTGCCCACTCTTCCTTGCAAAAACACTCCAAATCTGTCAGATTGCAAGGGCATCTCCTGTGCACAGCCCTCTTCAGATCACCCCCACAGAATGTCGATCAGATTCAGGTCTGGGCTCTGGATAGGCCATTCCAAAACTTTAATCTTCTTCTGGTGAAGCCATTTCTTTGTTGATTTGGATGTATGCTTTGGGTTGTTGTCATGCTGAAAGATGAGGTTCCTCTTCATGTTCAGCTTTCTAGCAGAAGCCTGATGGTTTGTCTGTTGGAACCGTCCCTCTACCTTGACTAAGGCCCCACTTCCAGCTGAAGCAAAACAGCCCCAAATCATGATGCTGCCACCAACATGCTTCACTGTGGGTATGGTGTTATTTTGGTGATGTGCAGTGTTGTTTTTGTGCCAAGTACATCTTTGCAATTGTGGCCAAAATGTTCAACTTTGGTTTCATCAGACCATAACACATTTTCCAACATGCTTTTGGGAGACATCAGATGTGTTTTTGCTAAATTTAGCCAGGCTTGGATGTTTTTTTCTTCATAAGAAAAAGCTTCCGTCTTGCCACTCTACCACATAGCCCGGACATATGAAGAATATGGGAGATTGTTGTCACATGTACCACACAGCCAGTACTTGCCAGATATTCCTGCAGCTCCTTTAATGTTGCTGTAGACCTCTTGGCAGCCTCCCAGACCAGTTTTCTTCTCATCTTTTCATCAGTTTTGGAGTTCTTGGTATTATCACTGTTGTGCCATATTTTCCCCACTTGATGATGACTGTCTGCACTGTGTTCCATGGTATATCTAATGCCTTCAAAATTCTTTTGTACCCTTCTCCTGACTGATACCTTTTAACAATGAGATCCCTCTGATGCTTTGGAAGCTCTCTGTGGACCATGGCTTTTGCTGTAGGATGCGACTAAGAAAATGTCAGGAAAGAGTAGAACAGCTGAACTTTATTTGGGGTTAATCAGAGGCACTTTAAATATTGGCAGGTGTGTACTGACTCCTATTTAACATGATTTTGAATGTGATTGCTTAATTCTGAACACAGCTACATCCCCAGTTATAAGAGGGTGTGCACACTTATGCAAACACATTATTTTAGTTTTTTATGTTTACTCCCCCTCCCCCAAAATATTTCAGTTTGTTTTTCAAATGAGTTGTACAGTTTATAGGTCACATTAAAGGTGGAAAAAGTTCTAAAATTATTTATCTTTGTCTCGTTTTTGTACATCACAGAAACCTGACATTTTAACAGGGGTGTGTAGACTTTTTATATCCACTGTATGTCATAATATACTCCAGATCCTGAATATGGTTTGTTTATTACAACCTATTACTATGCATACCAGATAGAGGTTCAAAGCAAACATTTACAATTAACCACTGTGAGTTACCTGGGCAAACATAGTGTAGACGACCTCATGTCAATGGTCTTTGAACAACAGATCCTCTTGATGGAACAGAGAGTACCTCTCTATTTGCCAAGTGCCAACATATTACTAATTTATGTATATGGACCTGGGGAAAATTTAGTCAGCATGAAAAGGACCTGCATATTTTAAATAGAAGAAATGGAAATGGAGCACTTTTTGCTTTTTCAGAAACCCATTCCGCAACTGTGCATTATGCATCACCCACAACAGGGCAGAAAACCCCCCAAAACAAAACAGTTAGATAAAAAAAAATTACTATATTCAATGACTATATACAGCTTAATGCCACATGTACAACTTAAAAGTTCATAACAAAATCGCAATGCCCTGAAACCTCAGAGCTCTGCAGTTAATCTTCAAGGAGGTAGGGGAAACTGGAACCTAACATTTTGGTGGACCACAGCTAGAAGGTAAATACACAAACCCAGCATTAAAAACCACCTCTCCCAGTGTGATCGGTTAGACCATATTTATGTGACATCTAACAGAATAATCACCTGAAAGTAGCAAAATATGAGGTTACAGTGTAGGAGCTCTGGAGTGGTGTTTTTTTAATGTAAGCAGTACACCCTTCACACCACTATATACATAGTTTCAGATTGAAAATCATAATGCATAATAAGCATATTGATTAATCAGTGCGTTAGTTGACAGTAAATCTGAAATGATTACTTAAAGTAAAAATTTTACTTGGAAAGGGTAATATAAAATAAAACAGTTTTTCGTATGGATTGGGGTCAAGTTCCGTCCATTGAAATGGCAGTTTGGGTGCACAAAATTACATTTTTATTCCCAGTGCCCTTTGCGCTCTGTAAGCGCATTTCCCTA